CTACAAAACATGGCAACGCCGCCCCGTCTGATCCGACGCTGACCGCCGTCATAGCACAAATCTCACTCTCTTCCCTGCAACCCTGAATTTAAGCTTCAAGCCTTGGCCGCTGGTCTGAATTTGCCGGGCATCGGAGAGGACGTGATGTTACAGTGAGCGGTCGGTCTTACACCGCATACGTCGGTCGAGTCCCTCTGAACGGCATAGATCTGTTTGAGTCACGAGGGACGCTACGAACTCACCAGCTATATCTCGATTCTGACGCCGTGCTGATCCTTGTGGGGGTGCCCTCCCTCTGGCGATGATCAGCGCTCTCCCCCTGCCCTGTGCTGTCCGCTTGCTCTCTGCGGTCAGCCGCATGTATATGCGCTCCTCTTCTGCCTTGACATTTTGTGGCTCATGGCGACGGCGTTTTCCCCCGGGCTGGTTCCCTGAGAAGCATGGATTTTAAGGCTGGCAGTTTCCTAGACGATCACCTCTCCTTCTAATTGAGGTTCCCACATGGATGGCGCGCTCACTAACCCCTCACCTTGCGCGCATCACCGAGCAGATCATTCCTGTCATCGGACAGTTGCGAAATACTATCGGTGATAGTGCACGGTACAGCGGGCCATATTCCAGAACTGGAAGGACCTTATCACATTCCCTGAGTGGTGCTGGAGCTCCTTCTCTCGACTCAATTATTCATGGCGTTGATTCTATTACGGTACGCTTTTTATAGACAGTTGATCGGCACAGAACAAAACTCCTCTGGCCCCCGGAAAAAAAGTTCGTCCAATAAGTGGATGCAGGAAAAGGGAATATTGTAGCCTGAGGGGCGAAGCAGAAAAGGGAAGACGAGGGAAAAAACAAAGAAAAAAAAGGAAGATTGTTATGAATTTGTATGATGGGGGGTTTATTGTCCTTTATGCTTCTTGGAGAATGGGTCATGCATTGGACGCAAAATTGGGTGTTTTTATCGTCTCGCTTGTTTTTTACTCGATCCGGTTGATTTGATGGTCGTTGAATTTCGGTTTTCTTTTTCCCGCTACTACCCTCTTATGTTTTACACGGCTGGATTGCTTTTCTTTTTTTCTCTCTTTTTCTTTCATACACTGCTCTCTCCTCACTCATTACCCGGCCATGGAAAAGTGGGAATGGCAATCTGTTGTGGGTTTTCTTGGGAAGGGACTTTGGAGAAAATTCTTGGGTGGTGGAACAAAAGACACAAAAGGGATTGGGAGATACATAAAAAGTTATGTTTGTTACTTGCTCGTTTTTTCTTAAACAGGAACGGTCATAGAGAGAATTCAAAGGGGAAAAGGGAAGCTATTTTTCTGCTTGCTTTAAAAAAGTGTGAGAGGGAAAAAAGGTCTGGTACATAGAAGTTAATGTTCAGCTTTTTCTTGCCTGCATGCTGGTGCTGTCTCGTGCCCTTTGCCAAGGCGCGATTATCCTTGTGTGGGCACACGTTGTTGGTGTTTGAGATAAGGTTGGGTGATGGTCCCTGTTCCGGACGAGGGCGCATCCCTGCCGCTTTGAGGTGGATGGGCAAAGGTTCCTTTTCCCTTTTGTTTCATGTACAGGGCGGGCATGCGAGTAAGTTTTGGGGCTGATTTGAGCCGCGTGGGATGGGAGCTTTGTGATGGATGATCCCTGGCGTGTTACGGATAAGTAGAGCAAGGCCGGTGTAATGACAGAATGGGAAGGGGAACAAAGATGGAAAAAGCAAGAGTACGTCATTTACTGGTCTATAGACATGGATCGAATGGCTGGCTACCCAGTACGCCTTATGACTTCCTCACAAGCATACCCTTCAAGACAAAGTCAAGCAACCAACTCCCTGAAATGCTTCGAAAAGAAAAAAAGGAAAAAAAAGGGGAAAAGGAAGACCGCATGTACATAAAACAGGAGAAAGAGAGATGGGGAAACAAACAGACGTTACGTCCTCATGCATAATCTCTAAATGAGCAACCAAGCAAAAGCTCACCCGCATCGTCTGCATTCCTCTCAGAGGCCCATAGTGATCACGGCCCGGAACAAGGGTAAACCAGACCGACATACGCGCGCTGCGCGACAGACATCATCTGGAATACTGTGTGCGCTAAATCGCTTTACGATATCTCCACGTCTTCGTCGTCGTCATCGACTTCAGATTCGACGATCTGCATCTGCGTGCTGCTGATGCTCTCCTTGCGGGTGCCATGGCCAGAGGCGTCGCTGTACCGGCCCGATACGCTCCCCCACTCAAGGTCGTCGCCGGCAACCACTCGGCCTTCCATGTCGATCTCCTGAGACAGCTCGACCAGGGCGTTGCGGGGGAGCCGCAGGAAACCCTGGGTACGGACGATACGGCCCCAGTGCGTCATGCAGAACGTCGCCGCTCTCTTGCGAAGCCATTCCTCGCTAGCGAGTCCCGAGCAGTACCAGATGACGCAGGCGTGCTCGACGTCGAGCTCCTTGGCCAGGCGGTTTACGCACAGTAGGCGGAGGTGTGGGATGTTGTAGATGTTGGACATGACCAAGAGGCCGGCCACATCGGAGAGATCCGTCGTGGCGTCACTGTCCGTCTCTGTCGTGCCGTGGATGTTGTCAGTGTAGAGGTACAAGAGGAACGCCTTGACGACAGAGTATGGCTCCGGGATGTGCATCTTCTTGGTGTGGAACTCTGCCATCTGAGCGTTGTACAAGCGAGCAAAGTGCGGCCAGCGCGCTTGCAGGATAAGCTTGTGGACGTGAATCGGCATAGACGTTGGAACATCGGCAGACAGCCAGCCTTGGTCTCTGTTTGCATCATCGGCTCGAATCAGCCCTGAGCTGAGTGTTTCGTCGCTGTCAGCATCATCGGTAAGAGCTGTGATGATGAAGTCGGTGCCACTTCCAGACTCGGGTGGTTGATTGAAAAGTTTGGCTAGATCCGCGCCAAGACCCTTGGAAGGTTGGTCGGAAAGCCTGGTTGCAAAGGACGGCCGGGACTGGGCCAAGTTTTCTGGCGCAAGGTTGTTCCCAAGGAAGCCATATCGTCGAAGGTCTACTTCCATGATGTCGCTACAATCTTCATGTCAGTACCAAAGACGGAATGAGCAGAGGCCGGCTGATTCATCTTACCTAAGGTATTCTTCATAGCCGTTTGGCCCTAGATCCGTGGAAGCTGGATCAACCGGACAGCCCAAGAGCCACGCCTTGGTGCCGTCTTCGTTCATCGTACAGTAGTGCCATCTATATCCCGTTTTGAAGATTTCGCGGCCGTCGGCGAGCTTCTGCCACCGCAGGGTGCTAAGGTCTAGGGCGGACAAGGAGCATTCTCTGTGAGTAATGGTCGCCGCGGGAGTCACAAAGTCAAGCAGCGTTCCGGAGGAATAGGTGTGGAAGTGGATGCCCGATCCTTGGGATGGAACGGTCGGACCAGAAACAAATTTGAGGGCGGAGATGGTTCCGGGCGCCATTGGTGCGTATGACTTTACTTGAAATGATGGAGGGTTTACTTGGGCCGTCCTGGAATTCGCAGCATAGCCAGAGGCGCCAACAACTGGGTTGGACGCCATGGTATAAGGCGGCCTCGGAGAGCTGCTGGTCCTGTGAGCAGCGGAATGGCGATCCAAGACGCCGAAATGGGGTCGGGAGTCGAATTCCGGGCTTCCCTTGAGGTCGAGCCACCACAAGTCACTAATCTTGTCCATGTCTTCACTGAGACCACCAAAGACCCAGACGCGGTCCCCCCAGATGTAGGCAGAGTGGTCAAAACGGCCAACAAAGCGCCATGCCTTGGACCAAGTAAACGTCTTGAGGTCGAGATAGCAAATGTCGTCCAACACATAGTTGTTCTGCCCAGTGATGCCACCAATGATGAACAGTTTGTCTTCGTGCAGCACCGCGGCGTGCCTTGCCCTGCCCTTGGGTATCGGACCCGATACCATAGGCTGCGTCCAATGTGCCGTTTTCAAGTCGAATATAATAAGATCGGATAGGTAGGTCCGATGCTCGTTCTCACCACCGAATACGAGGAGTTTGTCGCATTTGTACAGAGTCGCCGTGTGACCTATATGCAAGTGCTGGTTAGTATTTGTCAAGGTGATGATGATGCAACAAACAAGAGGCACATTGCATTATACGAACCCATGCGCACCCCGGGAATATCGCCATAGTTGTCCACCAAACTCCATTGATGGCTTGCCAAGTCCAGTCGCAAGACATGATTGTATACTTCGTCAGTGTACTGGTCAAAGCCACCGAAAGCATAGATTTGGTTGTTCCCGCAGTAGGTTACGGACGCATTGACGAGGCACGCAGGCCTCTGTCCCAGCGTGCGTGTAACTTTGGGGCGATAACCATCAGCCAGGGGGCGGGCCTTGAGAGGAGAGTTTGGCATGATGTAGGTATTGTTGGAGGAGGACGCCGAGGCCGGCGTCTCGACGGCACTCATGGCGTCTGATGAGGTTTGGCTGGCCATGCCGGACTGCTGCGTCCCACCAGCATGGGCTGCCAGGGTTTGGGTTTGGCCAAAGATGCTAACAGAAGAAGACGCTGGGCCGGGGGTCGATGGTTGCGCCATGATGAACCTTCACAGCCACAAAACCATGCCAGGCGCGGCCTCGAACCGACGCAACTCGATGGGCGAACTTGATGCAGATGCAGAGGAAGGACGGCGGATAACGAGTGATGCGATAACGCACACGCCAACGTGCAGTGGATTCGACGATGTTGCGTCTGGACGGCGCATGTGAGATGAGGGTCGCAAATTTGCGGAGCAGCGAGACAAAGGCTGTCCATCCTACACCGACTGGGTACGTACCGTTGAATTTTTTCCGCTCACTAGCCGCGCCGCACCTTTCCCAATGCGGCTACCTCGGTGGCGGTTACCTGGTGCAGGGATTTAGTCATCCGTTGTCTGGTCAACATGGCGTCGGGCTAGAAAGTAAAAGTAAATAAAATACGCCATCCTTGTTCACCGTCTTCTGCACCGCTCCTCTACCCAAACCCTCCATACAATTGACTACACTTGATATCGAATATCAAACATCATGGCTACTGCAGCAGTATCAACTCCTGTAAACAATCAGAAGGGGCTCGTGCCCTCGCTCAAGGCTGGTGGAAGAGTTCCTCTGACGCCTTCACCACGCAACTCCATCAACCTAAACTCCTCACCGTTCGCTCCTGAGGACCACTCTGGCAAAGATGCCAAGGGAGCCTCCAAACACACCTATAGCGGAAATCTTATGGCTCATTATGGACGAGCCTCATCATCTTCTACTGTCTCTCAGCGTGAGCAATCAGAACCTCACCATAATTCGCCCAAGTTCAACATCGCTCGCGTGGTCCACTCACCCCGCAAAACTCTTGCGCTCGGAGTCTCTGACTATGCACTTACTGGTACTGGCCTTGCTCTGAGCCCCTCCAAGCCAAAGAAAGGTTCACTCCGACAGAAGGCCTCCAAGACGACAACCAACCATGGCGGTGATCGCTTCATCCCCAACCGGGCTGCCAGCTCCGCAATCGCCAACACAGGCTCAAGCAAGATTAGTGGTCCCGAGAGGAAGAAAAGAAAGCGATCCCCACCAAGCATCTCAGAGAGGCCGGCAGCGCCCGAAGTCCCGGAGGAGGACCCAGCTTCTGCCCTGGAGGGTCTGAGCATCCTCGATGATGATGCGGACGAAGGCTATTCTCGCCCCTCTCCAAATACCGTTGCTTATCAAGATTCACTCGCCAACGCCTGTGGTGTGAGTCTCAAGACTCGCATCCTGGAGTTCAAGCCCGCTGCGCCAGAATCGTCAAAGCCAATTGATCTTCGCCAGCAGTACAACAGGCCGTTGAGACATACCGGTTCCGGCTCCGCCCAGACTCGCCGACGTATTGCTACCGCTCCCGAGCGTGTTTTGGATGCTCCTGGTCTGATTGATGACTATTATCTCAACCTATTGGACTGGAGCTCGGGTAACCAAGTCGCCATCGGTTTGGAGCGCAGCGTCTATGTCTGGTCCGCGGATGAAGGCAGTGTCAGCTGCCTCCTAGAGACCACCCCCGATACCTATATCAGCAGTGTCAAGTGGTCCGAAGACGGGGCCTATGTCGGCGTTGGCCTCGGCACTGGCGAAGTCCAAATCTGGGATGTGGCCGAAAGCCAAAAGATTCGAAGCATGTTTGGACATGATACTCGTGTTAGCGTCATGGGTTGGAACAAGCATCTGCTCTCCACCGGCGCCCGAAGCGGTCTCGTCTTCAATCACGATGTCCGAATTGCCGAGCACAAGGTCGCAGAGCTGGTTTCGCACACTTCCGAGGTCTGCGGACTCGAATGGCGATCGGATGGCGCGCAGCTTGCCACTGGCGGCAACGACAACCTGGTCTCCATCTGGGATGCTCGCTCTCTGTCCGTGCCCAAATTCACCAAGACCAACCACAAGGCAGCTGTCAAGGCGCTCGCATGGTGCCCCTGGAACGCAAACCTGCTCGCCACCGGCGGTGGTTCCTATGATCGTCACATTCACTTTTGGAACTCGACTACGGGTGCGCGCGTCAACAGCATCGATACCGGCTCTCAAGTCACCTCCCTGCGTTGGAGCCCTCACTACCGCGAGATTGTGAGCTCAAGCGGCTTCCCAGACAACTCTCTGAGCGTCTGGAGCTACCCGACCCTGGTCCGCAACGTCGAAATCCCTGCTCATGAGAGCCGTGTCCTACACAGCTGCCTCAGCCCTGATGGCCAGATGCTGGCTACCGCCGCCGCTGATGAAAGCTTGAAGTTCTGGAAGATCTTTGAGAAGAAGGCCGGTGCCGGTGCTGGTGCCGCTGGCTCAGGCTCTTCTGGAAAGGCCGACGTGGTCAAGCACATGACCATTCGATAGATGGCGGCTTAACGGACCTCGAGGTAGGCGGATATGCACGCCCTCACACCGGCATCTATTCTTGTTTTCACGGAGCTTTTGCTTTCGAAATGGCGTTGGGAATTGGATTGCCGTCTGCGATTCTTATAGCACGTGGTACGAAAGTGCTTCTCCACGGATGAACAAACGGGAAATGGGCCAGATTTGACACGAGTTATGATTGGAATGTCTGAGACAAAAACGAGAGAAAAAAAAAATTGAGACAGAAGATTTGGTATAAAACTTCATGTAACAGGTAGCTGCTGCATAATAGTTTACGAGGATATTGATTTTTATGGGAAGGCCGGTGTTTGGAGAACAAAATTGCAACTTGGTTTGATGTCTTTGGAGGTTTCACTTGCTTAGATAGATTATGTAACGCTCAATAAATATTTGTTGAGAAGGCTTGAGGCATTCCCGTATTTCTGCTCGTACATGAAAGATGGATATTTATTCGGAGTGGTAAATGAACATCATTATCAACGTCAACTCGGATATGAGGTTACGTTACCTGCTCAAGGAGACTGACACTGAGTTGTGATTGTGATTCTCCGCTGGCTGGAGTTAAAGTTCAGCGCTGCCGCCTGCTAGCCCGCCCGTAGCGAGTTGAGCGGAACCGGGCACGCTCTGGGGGGTGACTAAGCGGCAGAGCCCTCTAGAAGTGGAAATCTACCCAGCGCTGCCAACTCTAACCATTGCATACCTTTGCAGCTGGACCGACGCCAACCCGCCCATCGACGCTGCAACGCCTGAGCGCGCATTCAAACTACGAATAAGAATTGCTCAGCTGGGGATTATCTCGCCTGTGCTGCACCGCAGGCTCTGTCCCTTTTTATATCCTCTGCCGAAGCCGCAGCTGCAGCGACGGCAACGGGGTACCAATCCAGTGCTTGGCCGCCAGAGCGGTTACCCACCGACTTGTGTACGCCTACACACGCCCGCCTAGCGATAGGCTGCACGCTGTTTTGGCCAGCCCAAGGGGAGAGAGAGAAAAAAAAGGCAGAGAGAAGCATATCCGCGCCGCTGAAACAAGAGCATAAAAAGTATATCTTTTTTTTTCCCCTTCGCTCGTCGGCTCCCAAGATTTAGTGCCATCGGGCTACAGTGCGACTTTCCTGGGGCCTTTTGAACCTGCGAACGGAGATTCCAGAAGCACTTCTGTTGCGACACCGCACGCTGCAAAACCAGCATCAACCAAGCGACGTCGGTGTAGGCCGAGCGGTGCTGCCATCATGTCGAACCAGGCTGTGGGAAACGTCTACCAGACGATCATCGAAGAGGTGATCAACAGCTCGCGAGTCGACTTCGAAGAGAGCGGTGTTGAGGAGGCCGTCCTGGAGGAGCTGCGATTGGTAAGTCATCCATATTCTCTATGCATCCCTCTTCACCAGCCTTTCCGCCGGAGCCCGTCCGAATCGTTACGATACATGCTCGATCCCAAGCGAAAATCCGTGTCTCGACGACATTATGCCCAACGAAAGAACAAAGACAAAAGCAACCGTCAACCTCTGCATGCAACAGCGAGATGCTTTGCGCGATGCTCGCAACTCCCTGAGAGGGGAAGCAAGAAATCTGGGGTGGAGAGCAGTGGCGGGTTGGGTCGGGGGATCGGGGGCGACACAGCACTATTTGGGGCCCTTTTAAGTCCAAAGGCGCCCCCCCTGGCCATGCCGGATTCTCCAAGTCCAGTGACTCCTCCAGGCAGGCAGGAAAATGGGCGCTGCCTGATTGGGCCACTGATAGCCACCTCTCCGTTCCTCACTATCACGTGTGACCCAAGTCGATGCCCGGCACTCATTGGCACACACTGTAGATGCCGTCCCTTTACTGCCTTTCTCGCCCCGTCATCTACTGGCTCTTTTTCTTTCCTTCTTGAATCAGACAAGCTTACTGACTCATTCTCATCAGGGATGGCAACAGAAGCTGTCTCAGCTCGACGTGGCTCGGTTCCCGTGGGATCCCAAGCCCGAGCCCGCCCCACCGGCTGCGTCTGCTCCGGCTCCTAATACAGCCACGCCTGTTCAGACACAAGCTCAGTTTTCAACACCGCTGTCGTTGCCGACGGCGAGCCCTCCTGGCGGCTTGCCACAAAACGGCATCAAGCAAGAGTCTTATGTGAAGCCAGAACCAGGCATCAAGCAGGAGCCCGGCGCCCAGCAGCCCGGCCTCTACCAGAATTACAATGGAATGGAAAACAAGAACAGCGTTGCTGCCAATAGAGCCGCCCAGCAACTCCAAGCTCAATATGGAATGAGAGCGGCAGGTTCTATCAATGCCATCCAGGACCGTATGGGGCAGCAGCCTCAAGCACAACAACCGGGCCAGGGGGCACCCGTCCTGCCGCAGCAGCCGCAGCAGATGCCTCATGAACAGTCGATGGGCAACGCTCAGGTTGACGGTGCAGGCGACGGCATGATGGAAGATTCCGATGACGACGAAGAGACCTTTGAAGGCGTTCTCCTGAGAAATGGAGTCAATGGCAACCCAGAGGAACTCGGAAGAGTCGACATTGATCGTATCCTCCACGACCAAATCGCCGCCAAGGCCAAGAGCATGGAGGGAGGCGGTTTGATGCTATCTCTGAAAGAAGCCACCAAAAATCAATCCAAGTCGACCGCCAGCAAGAAGTCGAGGGGCAAAGGAAAGGCTCCCGCTGGCGTGGCCGCTTATGACGGCGGAGACGATGACGAGGACATTGACGAGGACGCCATCAATTCCGATTTGGATGACCCCGATGAGGATCGAGATGATGACGAGGTTGATGACGAAGGCCTCGGCCACATCATGCTTTGCATGTACGACAAGGTCCAAAGGGTCAAGAACAAGTGGTGAGTGCGAACCAGGATAGAAATCACACATTTTACCTCTGCTAACTCTGTGAACAGGAAGTGCACCCTCAAGGACGGCGTCCTTACCGTCAACGGCAAGGAGTACGTCTTCAACAAAGCAACCGGCGAATACGAATGGTAGTGAATCCACGGGAGAGAAGATTGGCTTACCAGTGCTGCTTTGCGACATCAGGCAGCCTTTGCTTGGTGGTATTATACCTACATGTCTGCTTTAATTTAGCTTTTGCTCACGACTTTTCGTTTATGTCTTTTGCATTTTTCATTGCTATTAAAAAAAAAGTTCTCCAAAAACATTAATGAAAAGGGAAGGAAATCAGAGTCACGGAGTAGTAGTTGGCTGCCAGGAAGAGGCTGGCGAGGTTTTCCAGAATGGTGGGCCGCAGTTATTTTCCTGCTTAGGCTGAGGTTTGGCTGTTCCTTTATTTCCCCTTCCCTTTCTTTTTTCCCTTTGAACATCTTTCAAGGTTGAAAACAACGACGGGGACAGGCGCACAGTATGCACTGCGGATATGTATGTACACTCCGAAGCAGAAAATATATTTCAGAATGAACTTTTGCCGGAAGCCAGGTGGTTCGACAGATGCACGTGGAAATGAACGAAGGAGAGAGAGAGTAAAAAGCAAACCCACCTGCGTCAAGTCTAGCCTCGGGGCCATTATCTCATCGTGGTAGTAGCAACAGTAAGCCCGTGATCCTAGGTGAAGTGAGCCGACCACGACCTTCGCCTCGGCGTTAATGGTAAAGGGCGATCCGCTCCGTGATTGTGTCCTGCCGGATTGAGATATTTGGCTCACACTCCCAGACCTCCGCTGACCGCGTCCATGCCATGCTAAAAGCAAAAAAGCACGGGGAACTTCTGGGGGGCCGCGGCAAAGCCAGTTGAGGCATTTATACCAAGACAAGGGGGGAGGATACCGGAAAGCGTCTAGTCCAGGCAGATGACGGCACATTTCGAATGAAATGGCTTCGAGTAAACGATCGCTTGCCGCGGATCCGCTCCCGCGCGTTTGCGTGGCGTCGAGGTCACGAATCCTTTCGTCGTCGTCGCCGATACCTTGGCTTGGCCCGATGCCGAGCCGCCGAATGCTGGCTGCTGCATGTACGGTGGGAGAGCAACGAGAGCAACTACTGTAAAAGACAGGAGACGGGCCCCGCAGGCTACGAAGCGTCGGCATTCCCAACTGCAAAGGCTCAACACTCGGGGGCCCAGTACGGTGTGGGAGCCTGTTCGGTAAGGATAGATGAGCAGCACACCATTCCTCTCAACAGGGATGGGGCGCGGGGTTGGGAGGCCATCTTCGCCTTGGCCCTGTCTGGGATTTTCCGGGAAATGCCTTCCAAGGACACGGAGCAGAGCAGATGATGCCGCATAAACAAGCACTCGCGAGGAATTCGGTTGATGATACGAAGCCACCCAAACCACGGAGCTACTTGTCCGGTGGCTGTGCTGTCCAAAGGATTCTCTGTGCGCAGATTTCCAACGTACGAGCGGAGGATTCCCGTGGCATTTACCGCAATTTCGCACCCCTACTCCTTCGACCCGACAGTTTGGTTCACCGAGAAGCGCTAACGACTAGTGGCGCGCCGTGCAGATGTCTAGAACGACAGGGGATCAAGGGGAGTTGCCAGGTGGAACTTGGATTCGTCTCTCCCTTGCAAGGCTCGCAAGGTTGAATCTGGGCGTATCGCTCGCGACATGGGACGCCCGAATCGCCCAAGTAAATGTGATCTGCGTTCCGCTAGCGTGTGAACTGTAGACCGGACCCCCCCTAGGATGCCAGAGAGAGTGATGGGATTGATCGTGGGAGCCCACGACCGAGGTGAAGGCTAGGCGAGCTTTCTCCTTGCCATGTCCGTTGTGACGAGCATGTATTTAGTCTGCCATGCAAACGTAGCTCTGAAAGTCGAGTCATTTTGCCGCATGCAAGTACGGGCAACGTGGCAGTCCGATTCACCGAAGCCCCTGATGCAGGCTGGCCCTTGCTTTCTATTATCAGTAAGATTTTCTCCGTTTGTTGGATGAGGATTGTGTGCCAGTAGAATGAGCTTCAACGGACCGACCACAACGCCATATTTCTCTCCGCGTACTTGTGCACTGCACAGAGGCTGGCTACTCGGTTTGCGAGCTAGTGAGCCAAGACTAGCAATTGAACGGCATCACTTGACAGTTCATGATATGCGGACTTGCAGTAATGTAGATTGCGGAGTAAAAGTAGCTGCAGACGTGACGTAAAGCCTTGTGTAGCTCTCTCTTATCCTAGTGGTAATGGTGTCAAGGAGATGGTGCCGCAAGAGGGATCAAAAGACATATCCTTGTTCGCCGTCGCAACGGACGTCACCCTAATCTTGTCCCGCCCGGCAATCAAATTACCGAGCAGTAACCAAACCGTCGGTAGGTTGCCTTTGTCCACATCATCAGTGAATGGGCTATACTCGCAGAGCTTGAAATTGGTAGCGAATATGTCTTTCTTCCTCGCTGGTGACGGCTTCACGTATCTGGAAGCCAAGAAGCCGTTTTGCCTTTTGTAGCGCCAATCAGCCGCACGGGGGGAGCACAGGTATGGAGTCCAAAAACCCTGTAAGAAGTCGATTCTGCAGCATTTAGTGCAGCGAATGAAACAATGTTGACAGGGTTCAGGGATGCTTAATTAGCACCACTCCCGACTAAATGGGTAAACCAGCAGGAGAAGCGTCAATTTCTGTAAGAAAGGCAATCCGTAAACTCGGGCGTTCAGCACTCAGCGTTCAGCATCCAGAGCAGTGGTTTCGGATAAGAGCGTTGACAATGGGAAGGTAGTGTCAATGATTGCTAACTACCGATGCTCATAGACGGCGGGGGAATTCCCAGAATGTGTGCAAGCATTCGGAGAGTATCGGGGAAGCGTTGGGAAGTGGCATGACTAGGTAATTGAGATTCGGCACTAAAAGTAAAGGATGAAAAGGGGGAGCGAAGAAAAAGCAGGAAATGACAGATTACATACGGAGACGGCTCTGAGGTGAGAAGAAAAACAAATGAAAGCTGAGAGAGTGTGTTTCGGTCGGCGAAGACCTCGTCGAGATGGTGTGTTGTTGGTTCTTGGACTTTATGCGTCTGGCTAAAGAATACTAGCTCCGCCCTCCTATGGAGTGTCCTATGGCCCCTCCTGTGGGCAATACGACATTGTGAGTTACCCAAAGATATTCAGAGGCGACAAGGACTCGCGAGTGGCTACCTTTGAGAGCGCTTTTCCCAAAGAGCCTTTTAAGCAGGCGTCAATACTGCCATGGGTGGGCGAGGCTTAGAAACATCGTGGTACGGCCATGGGGCGGGGTGTCATGCGACTAGCCGATTTCATGGCCAGGGGAGGTCCCAGTAGGACTCCCGACGGCACTGGGGACGATGTTTTGAGTAGAGTAGAGTTGGATTGTTGCTGAGGCGAAAGCCCAAGCAGGACATTGCTTTGCTGAGATGTTGCTGAGAGCGCGGGTAGGATGCGCATGGCAGCTCACCTCCGAGGGTGGTTAAGATTTGCGGGAGTGGCGCGCGCAATACTCGTCTCAGTTACATCGCATCTATCGAGCAGCCCCGCCTGCACCACTTGGGAGAAGGACCCAGCCATTCACATGTACAGGTAGGCATGACTACCGTGGAGCTGACTGTTGGTTCCAGGATATCGAGGCCATGATGTAAGGCGGATGATATTTTAGAGGCTCGAATGTTGTTGCGGTATCCTCGGGGCGGACCCAGGACTTGGGGTTTAGCACTCGTTGGGTACGAGGTTTATGCAGTCACGTCTCGGGCGTGTTCTCTCGACGGAGGGCGTGAAACTGGCCGAGACGCAGGGCTCTAGACCGCATCGTGCTGTAGATGCAGCACTGCCGCTGGTAGAAATTGAGTTGAGGATGGAGGTGGAAAAAAAGGCTGAGCTTGAGGGAATGGAAAGAGTCGGAGAAGGTACAACCAAATTGGTATCAATGGATTGGGACACCGCCTACCTTAGTACCTAGGTAGAGCAGCCCTTGCTACTAAAGCAACTACAATATTAGGAGCATTGATAGATGGTAATCACTCCTATCGCAAACAGTTTTCACGGCAATTGCAAGTGCTTACCGCGGTACAATAATTGATGCCTTCAATACTCTGACATTGATGTATCTATTGCAATATGTATGGCGTGGGCTACTCAAGCTCCCAGATAATGCGAGGTGGTGACCTTGAGGCTAGCCGGAAGTGTATCAAGAACGAGATACCGCAAAGCCGCCCATTGAGCAACGAGATGTTCAATTCTCACATCGAAGCTTTAGTAGCAGTCTAGTGCCGCCGTACAGCAGTGCTACAGAAAGGGAGGCGTGCAGCTCAGCCCATTTGCATCTTTGATGTCGGCTAGGCAGAGAGGGTGGTATCTACCACCCTGGGGAAATGGGGGTTAGTAGTACTTGGTCCAAGTAAATCAATTCGCACCCCCCATAGTAGCACAAATCTTCAGATACCGGTCAAGTACAAGTAGAGAGGCAGAGAAACTCTCGAGCCTAGGTAGGTATTAGAGCACTCGTATGAGATGGTGACGGTGTGCAATGATCAAAAGTTCTTTTTAAGCAGGTATAACGCACGGATGCCGGTGTGCTCCCTACACCGCACTCCGGCAATGCTACCTCACGACAAGATGCCTCCATGCTACTCTATCTGTCGTGGGTAGGCCTTGCGATGCGGAAGGTTACAGCCATGGGTGAATTCAGACCAGCGCCATGGAGTAGCCCAAGTCCCATGAGCAGCTCTGGCCGGCCCTGGTAGATGCAAAGTCGCCGTCGACATTAGTGTCACTTGGACGGTTTGGGAACCAGCCACTTGTATTCTTGATACTAAATACCAGTATGCAGCTAAGATACAGCATTCGTTAGTACTGAGTATCACAGGTACCTAGGTACTAAGAACATGAAGATGTGCTAGCTCTTGTACTAGGTAGAGATGTATACCAAGAGATGTTGGGTGTGGTTGAACAGCACATCGATGGATTTATAGGCCAACGCATCATCACCAGTCACAGACTCGGCTTCGCTCTCTGCCTCGGTGCTCACTCTTATGCTGTTGGTCGACTTCCATCAATGCGCTTTGCCCGTCTCAAGTGGGGCGTCGGCGGGTCG